ATAACTTATTAAACATTCAACTATAACAACTACAGGTTGTATCAAAATAAACGCAATTCATCTTTTGTGCTTAATAACTTTCTAAATACTATCTCTAGTTAAACGCTTTTAGGCTTACTTCAAAGCCTGTTCTTTTCTCTTTGAAACAAACTATTATCCTTGTCTCCAATGCTAGTAATAATTGCACAGGAAAAGATTTAGTAAAACCTATCATTTTTAGTTGCTGTTTAATTATGCAAGTTTACTATGTTATTGTTTAGTCGGTTTAAATGTTAGAATTTTCTTCTTTAAACTTTAGTGTTGTCGTCACTACATCTGGAAAACCACGTAAGAACAAATTAAAAGTATTTTAAAAGAGACCAGGTTGTTTTAAAATCCTAAACGAATGCTAAAAATCGTCAAAACATTCTGGTGTCTGAGCCAGAATGTCATCGAATTGCGATGTAATGTAAACAGAAATTATAGCAAGTTGATGTCAGTCAGCTTAGATGGTCCAAGCCAAAATTATATCGCATTTGAAGTTTCAAACTGAGTTAAAAATAGTGGGAGAAAAGCTGTAATTATACTTATTGTTACAATCCATTTAATAAAATGCAACATTTTTTTGTTTTAATGAAAAATCAGTTATTTTCATGAGAACGCGATTTGTTATTCCATCTCAATTTTTTTAATCTCCAATCGCAATAACGTAAAGTATTATTACCCGCGAACCAATGAGTCAAATTTAAGAAACAACCCACTGTTAGAAAGCTGAATGGCTACGCTTTAAAGTGAATGTAAACTTTGACGTTTTCATCTATTATTTGTTTAGCAATTTACATTTCAGTCGAGGATTACGCTTTTTTTGATACACCCTGTATAACATGATGTTAATGTACTCGTAATTCGCGAGTAAATTGACTACAATACTCTTCAGGTGAGTTCATACTGCATCGGAACAAAACCTTTACTCAAAAACTGAATAAACATTATCCATGCATATATTTACCACATGCATATATTCACCACATCGTGGAACGAAAATAAACAAGGGAGATACACAGTATACATTTCAGTGTTGTTCAAAGTGACATTTCACATTCGTAAATTTTTTAATGAAATTCACTCTCATGCATTATCAAGTATTTCGCTTGGGCAAAGTTAAATACAGTCGACAAGTATCGCAGGATAACCATAGTTCTTGCTACTGTTTGGACCAAATTCCTCGTGGAGTCCTAATCGATGAAAATCAACAAGATCCTTGTTGATTTATAAATTGGACTTCCTCAGTGATCCAAACTTCGTACGCATTCAGGTGGTTCTTAAATTTCACAATCTGCATTGTTTTGCACAGAAAGATCACATTATTTCCCTCAACAACCATAATCTTGAACAAAACTATGTAAACCGTGATATAACGCTCTGATCAAAACACGCCCAACGGCATACTTCGTTCCTCCCACAATCACTCATTTGCATCTGCAACGATATTATAAAGTTTTAAGCGCGGCGTCGCCAAAAAATTACCAGCTGCTTTATATCAGGGGCGTAGCTTTGGTATAACTATATTGGGGGACTGTGAATGAGGCCTGCGAAACGTTGTCGATGTTTGCAGCAACTCGAAGGGTCTGATGCCGCTTGGCCGAAGAGAGATCAATATGTTAAAAGTTATTGATCGTTTCTACCAACTTCTTAAAGTAGCTGTGTTTCGCCTCAAAACGCATTGCCCAGCCTCGCACTAAAGGACCCCTCCTGAAAATAAAAAATGTTTCGGGATGCATGACAGCGCATAGGTTACCAGGTTTTGGAGATAGCTGAAGCAGGTGACAATAGTTCTCATTAGCTCAACCTACATGCATTCATGCTTCTAGCCTTCTACATTACATGTACTGTAATAATTTATTATCCATTATTATACATTTACTCAGACCATTAGTGTCCATAGTACCCTGATGGTTGGGCATTGAAGGGGTACTTGGAGATACTCATTGGAAATAGCAGGTAATACAAAATATATCGGTCTTGGCAAAATGGTTTAACACACTGGATGGCCAGCATCCCCCCTTGACGAGTAAAATTGCTTGGCATTAGAGATTGAGAGTAAAATAATTATGCAGGATGCATCAGGGTCCATTAGTTATTAATTAAGGTGGTCATTCCCCTTTAGAGCATTTTTTTTTCATTTTACAGACCGTTCAATATTCCGAACAGAGTCAGAAAAATATTTTTTGAAACGGCACAGTGATAAAAATCAAAATGTGGAAAAAATTTTTGGTTACTCATTAATTACACTAATTATCCAATATGGCTGCCCACTAATTAGCCAAAAAATGGCGTCGTATGACACATGATAATACCGACACTGTTAATCAGAATGACATATATTTTGAAAGCTTATAACATGATCTAGTGCCTGACCATCTCTATTTTCAATTTAAAGCATTTTTATCAGTAATTTGGTAAACAATCTGCACATTAGGGAAAAAAGGAATTTTTTCATTCCTAATTGGGTAATTAAACCTCATTTATACATTACTAATGAAATATATTTAAAATTAAATGGCCAGGCTCTGCATAATGTTAATAGCCATAAACATATCAAGTTTCAACCTTTTACACTTAATATTCAGAAAGATATGCTGTCACAAAGGTCAAATGGAATGAAAAAACTGCCAAATTGAGAAAATAGTTTCATTCTTTTTTTTTATAGACAATTTATAGTGTCTAGAAGGCACCTGCTTCATAGCTAATACCTTCTTCTTTTCAATACTGTCAACATAGTGCTTTCTTAGGTGCCTCAGTACTTTTCTTCTCTTTTTCACTGTTTCAGTGCTCTTCTTTGCCGACAGTCGAATTGTCGCAATCTTCAGTGGCTTTACCAGTAAAGATACCTGGAGTTATATCCAGGTCATGAAATAATTTTAAAAAGGAAATGTCACCATCATTAAATTTTAAAATGGCTAAGTAGGTGGCAAGAGCCACAGTTTCTTGCTCAACATAAGTAGACTTGGGACATCTGTCCCAGATAACCTGTTCAAGCATTCGTTAACATTCTGTGTCAATCCGTGAGTACATTTATTTAAAATTTCAGTCTTACTAAGATCTTTATAAATAGGCTTGACCAAGTCAACAATACAGCTTGGGATTACATTTTTATGTTTATATCCCTCCTTGTCTCTCTTATATCCACACCAGCTGTCCTTTCCTTCTGGGCAGAGATGGTGCTGTGGATTCTCAGCAGTTGACGCAACGGTAAAGAGATGCTTCTATGGACTTCGCCATTTTACCAACATCATCAAGGTTTTCCCTAACTGCCAAGCCATAATAATTTTGTAAAACATCTATTTTACTGTCAGTCAGCCTACCTTTACCAGCTAAACCTTTACCATCAGCCAATTTCAATCCTTTGTTGAAACTTTTAAGTTTGCGGAGACGACTTCCAACCCTCTTTTGGACATGCCCAATGCATTCTAATTTGTTCGAAATGCAATCCTCTCCATATGGCTGGCTTTCAACAATGGTGTTATAGGTTGAGGAATCACCATCTCCAAGCGTATCCATATATTCCAGCCCTTTTGTAGCTAGAGACCGTTCAATATTCCGAACAGCACCAGTTGTCTCCATGCTGCCAGCACTTACTTGATGATTGATCTTGCACTTGTGAGATGCTTTTCATGCATTTTACCTTGGGTCATTTATTTTCCTTCCCCACTTCCGGCATTGTTGGCACTTGTCTGACAACACTTCTTCTTTCTGACAACACAACACAACACAACACAACACAACACAACACAACACAACACAACGAGACATTTCTTTATGTCCAAGGAGATCACAGTAACAACCCCATTGTGGGACGAATATCCTCTCTTCTGCCAAGTACCATCGATCGACATTCCACATTCTCTATCATCATTTGCCCGACTTTATAAGCATTGTTGACCATACTACCAGTAGCCAACTTCTTCACAACGGACAAAACCTTTTCATTTTGAATCTTTGTGAACACACGGCGGGTTGGTGGAGCAGGCATATTCATGTCCTTATTGAAGGTAGTCATAGCATTATGACCTTTGCCAATTTCCCTGAAAACCAGGACAGTTCTTACATTCACTTCATAAGAACGACCTTGTTTCTTTGAAGTGTTAAAAGAATACTTCCAATCACACTCCATATTCTTACATGGTAGCACAATGTAATTGGAATATCCTCATTTCTTTCTCATGTCAACATGTGAATCGATATCACATCCACAATCAGGGCATTTCAAAACTTGGTCAAATACATTAAATAGTATGGATAAGTCCATAAAAATAGTTCCTTCTTTCAGAGTACTATCAATGCTTTTCGACAAACCACGAATTAATTCAGTATTCTGGCTAATTTTTCTCGCAGAAGGTCCAGGATCTTTATAGCTTGGTTCGCCATCTTGGATTATATTTCGTTTCCTTGACGGTGGAATCTTTCATTTTTTTCTCGCTCTGTTTCTCAAATTCCCCATCTATTCACTCCGAAATACAATCAAAACAACAGAAGGAATGTAATTCTACATTGCAACAACAACAACTTTTCAACTTTTCGACCACCAATTTTCTTAGACAATTTTCACACAGCTTGCTACAAATCGACCACGAGTTTGGAAAGTCAGCGCATTGCTATGTCGACGAAAATGAACCAATCACAAGGAGATTTACAAGCATGGCTTTAGATAACATACATCAAAAGTTGAATAGAAAAAAAAAAAATTGTTTTTATTTGTGGAAACACCACGTAAATTTATTACTACATACAAAAATTTGATTTTTTTAAAATCATGTTTTGAAGGGGAATGACCACCGTTATTAACAAGGGATGCTAAAACTAAATAACCCCCAGATTTCCATTTTGACAAGTGCAATTGTTAGGTATTATATTTAAAAACAGGTGGGTTATGAAAGCAAAGACATGGTACGTGCAACCAAAATCTTAATTATTCAACATATATATATAACCTAGCTACAATTATTGGGCAACAGTTTTACCTGACAATTTGTTTAGGATAATGAACCATGTAATGTTGTTTGGGAATGATTTTTCGAGAATATAGCTCTTTAAAATTCTCAAGATTGCAAGATACGCAGCAAGCAGTACACTTGTTACAGGAGCAAACAGAATTTCTTCGATATGCAGCAGATTTAACAGGTTCTCCCAGTTCTTATCACCTTCTGGAACCAAACCACCAATCAGTACAGGGAACATCCTTGCTAGCAATGCTAAGCACCACATCTGGGTTGCTATATAGTTGAATTCATTTGAGAAATAAAAAAAAAATTCTTTAACCCTTAGGGAGCCGAATTGTTTTTATGAATATTTTAATGATCAACTTATTTGCATTGATTTAATTTTTTGGAGGGAATCAATGATCCTATATATACATATCATATATCATTTTGAAGCTATAGCTATAAACGTCTTGAATATTGGTATCACAATGAGTCAAACCTTATTGTTGGGGGTGCGGGGATCAAAAAAAAGTTGGGCGTGCCCAAGCAAAAACGTTCTTTTAATGTTTTATGGACCTTTTGTGGAGCATAGAAGATGTGAATGGTATTTTGGTCCATAGCAATGACGAGATAATTTATTTGGCTTCAAAGTGATACCATAATTATATATGTAGCAAAAGTATTACATGAGTTACCAATTTTTTATGCCGGAAGCCGCTGGTGTAAATTCCTGTAAAAACACGAAAACATTTGAATTACCTTTATTACTGACATCATACCTAAAAATGTATAATATTGCATTCAGATAAAACAAAGTAGGTTATTCTTATATACACTAGCTATCACTACAGGTAAATGGAGATATATTTATACATTAGACAAAGTGTGGTACTTTTCAAAACACATTTGACATATATGTTTCTCAACCTTCTGACAATAATTGTTTTTTTTTTGTCCACATATTTGCCCTCAGCTGTCCTCTTTGTGGAACAAGCAACACATCGTCTTCGAACATCATGCCTACTTGCAAAATGTTTTCCTAATAATCTTTTCTCATTAGTTTGTGCTGGTCCACCTGGGCCCGGTGGTGAAGCAACGTTTGGGTTGGCCCTTCTGTCCAATCTCTGAACACTTTGTGTTTTCGATACACATCTTTGAAAGCAGGGTTGTTGGCAGTGAATGCAACAAGAGAATTTACAATGCACATGTCTATAAGTCTAAAAATTAATGTTTGAGTTCACTTACAGGACTTCTTGCTGATGTTGTAATATGAGACAAGTTGATCACACAGGTCAACTCCCCCCATATTTTCATTGTAGTCACAGATCATTTTTGGTTTGGTAGTTTGCTTGTCACCTCTTTGGTCGGTAATAACCTCACTATCATTTCGGATTGTCCTTCCTAGGATTGACCTTCCTAGAGTCACCCAACTATAACTAAAATTCGATCCCGTAGGCGCAACTAGATTCACAAGCTTTGATTGACATTAGATAAGCTGCATAATTTGCGTCGCGTTAAGGTGATGACGCTTACAATACATTCGCGTTTTAAAACTAACATATATAACATGAAGCGTTAAAACCAATGACAGCCATTTCCCGTAATTTTTCAGTCTAATTTTTTCTTTCATTTCAAAAGCTGTTCTTTCCCTCCTCCTGAGGTAGACTGTTGATCATTGCGTCAAGTTCAGAAAATACATTGTCGCTCTCCCCCTCATGCAAAGCAAGGCACCGGAATAAACAGAGATTATCGTGATAAGGTTCACCTGTATTTCTACGTTTACTTAATCCTATGACAGCCTGGTTTCTAGAAATATAGGAAATCAATTCGACTGGTGCTCCAACTGGAACGTGAAGTCTAGTTACTGTAATCAATGCTTGAATCAAGCGGGGAGGCATAAAAGAATCTTAATTTCCCCGTTTCTACCGCTCTACGTTGTCTTTGATAAATGTTCCTTAGCTCATCAACCAAGGTATCAACTGTAAAAAGATCATGCATTCTAATTAATATTGTAAACATAGTGCCTTTCATGAAGATGATCCTCGGCCTTTATGTTACATCGGTGTTGATTAGGGAGTTCCTCTGGCTGTTGTTGTTCTTCGTGATTTTGCGGTCCTTCGTGATTTTGCGGTCCTTCACGAGAAGGAGCATCTCCAGTTTGGTCCACTCTTGTGCGCTTATTTGTCGTTTGCTCGCGTGTCTCATTTGGAAAAAATGAAAGATACATTTCAGTTTAATTCAGTCAACTCACAGTTTGATGACTATTTCACTAACTCACCAGAATCCCTTTTATTTTGGCCTCCATTGGCTATACTGACCCGTGCTCTTTGCGCCTGTGCCTTGAAAGACTAGACCGATACACTTTGTGGCATTGTTCACAACGGTAACCTGGAACGATAAAATAATGTTAAGAACACTTCATGGTATAGAAAAACAATGGCATCTCTCACATCAGTTGCTATTAACCTATCAGTATTTTCTATGGTATCAGTGTCAATCCTTTGCCAGTTGCTAGCTGTGAGATGTTCAAACGGATTATCTGCAAGTCAAATTAACGTTTGTTCAAACAAAATGTCTACATTTGGCATTTGCTGACAAGTCATTCAAGCACTTACCCCGAATGGCACAATCCAAAATCGCGTTATATTCTAAAGGCGAATTCCTTCTCAAGCCTCCTTCTATTATTATTAATTAATCTGTATACAGGACGAAAGCATCCGTATTTACAAGTATAAACATGAATATAAAATGCAAAACTGCTATCCTGTCGCTGTCTTAGCATCCTCTCTTTCAGGTTCTCTTCCCCAAATTAGTTTACACATGCATGTTGCTCCATTTTGTTTCGCCGATAATGAACATAATCACACCTATACCACAAATTCATCTTCAAAGTCGCGATATTGTGAGTCATTAATCGCGTGCATGCATGGTATTAATACCTCACTGGGGATTACCACTCTCACTGGCGCAGGGCCCTCGACAGGCTGCTTTCCCAAAGGCATCCGCATCATTCAATTTTTCTGATGTTGTACTGGACATTTTTCACCATGTCATGCATGCCATCACATTTAGTTGCATGGCCATGATATTATTTCGTATATTTCCTACATGAATTAAAATGTGTAAGTGGATTGTAAGTGTAAAGTTCATCTCGAGACTCAGTGAATTTGGAGTGAATATCAGATTCACCAACGCATTCGCCACTAGTGCAATTTTCATAGTGAAAAAAAAAAATTTGCAAAACTCTTCGCACGGATCTTCGTTAGACAGAATTTGAGAACTATTTCAGCAAAATAGACAGAATTTGACAGAATTTCAACAGACCGTAGCAGCTTTTTTATCCGTGGCAGCTCTTTCATCTTCGTCGTGGTGACATGCTTGCTTATCCCTGCTCCCGGGGATCTCTGAGTTTATTTTTTGTTGTTTCTGCGTTGCATTGTAATGCCTTGCAAAAATATTATTATTATTATTATTGAAACTTGGATTTTGCAACCTTAAACGGTTGAAATACACCCATAAACATTACTGCATGCTTAACTATTACATGTAAAATACGAGTAATTATGATAAAAATTTAAAAAATCCTCAGATTTGTTAATTATGGATATGTAACCTACGACTAAAAACGGTTAAACTCTGATAAGTGTCTGAAGCCTAGGTACTAAGAATTATTAAAACGTTCAACAGACGACGGAATAAAAGAGTTTTTAAAGCGGTTTGTTGTGCATTTGATTGGTGCAAGTTTCTTTGGGGCACGTAGATCATATTTCGGAATTGCAGCGATCTTTACCAGACCTGATAGCAGACTAGACTCTGGGACAACCTTATTTTTAAAGAATGCCGAGCACAGTTGTTCACGTCTTGAATGCAAAGTTGGAATGTTACAGACCACTAGTGCGTCGTAATAAGATAGTGATGGATGGATAATTTTTAAACCTCTGCGCTGAATCCTTTCAATGTCTTTTGATAAATATTCTGGAATGTTGAAATGCCGAATTTGGTTACAGTATTCCAATATTGGTCTTATATACGATATGTACACTGTAATTAACGTTTTCGTATCAGCCTTCGCTCTTTTTAAAAGACGTAACATATATAAACGTCTCGAAGATTTTTTTTGCAATATATGCAACGTGTTCATTCCACTTGAGGTCACTCCTAAGCATTAGGCCCAATAGTTTTGTAGACTTTACTTGTTCAACAGGATTGTAATTTACGGTCAGTTGTTGAAAGTTAGGTTTCTTTTTCCAAAAACAAATTTGGATTTCCTTACACTTCCGGGCGTTTAAGACCATATCGTTTTCTTCACACCACGAGTTTATTCCATCTAGGGTAATTTGCAGGACTGATTGATCGTTTACAGCAACCGTCTCTGAAAGAGTGGTGTCATCTACATATTTCCACCGGCTTTGCCACTCCTTTAACAAGTTGTTGATCATTATCATGAACAAGATAGGGCCCAGAACAGTTCCCTGTGGGACGCCACCATTTACTTGTTGACAGTTGGAGGTAGAATTTCCAACCCTCACTCGTTGCCTTCTATTGGTCAGGAAACTTCTTACCCACTCTATCAAGGTAGGGTCGATGGCCATATCCTCCATCTTTGTTAGCAGAATGTTATGATTTATTCTGTCGAATGCTTTACTGATGTCCAAGAGTAAAACACGAACACATTGGTTGCGTTGATCAGTAACATTGTATAAATGGTGAACTAAAGACAGGAGAGCATGCGTTGTTGACAGTCCAGCTAGTGATCCGAACTGATTCAGGTCGATCAATTGTCTAATTTGTGACATGATCGATTTAGCAACAAAGCGCTCCATTATTTTTGCAAGGACTGCTGTTAACGATATGGGCCGTAGGTCCTTTTCAATATCCTTCACTGGGTTTATTTTAGGAATTGATTTAATACCAGCTACTTTCCAGGCATTTGGTATTGGTTAGTTCCGGTATCGTTTGGTATTAGTTAGTTCCGGTTCAGCAACGTTGTCATTCTCTTAAATTGACCAGGAAATGTCTTCCCATAATAATTGCTTCATATTTGCAATACCTTATTATATATACTTATATTTCTTAACCATCAGCTTGATTTCACTAACCCGCATCTAGTAACAAAAGAGAATTTTGAAAGTGCATGTTGTCCTCCTTTTTGACAAAGCAATAAACGTTTATAAAAGTTGATGCAGATTTTCGCAAAACCATTTTACTGAAATATTTAATTAACAAAAATTTAAAAATTTATTTCATTTTTTTAGTGCTCCCATGACTTAAAAATTGATATTATATAATAACAGAATACAGTTTAAAATTTACTGCGGTTATAAATACTAAACTGATGATTCCGATTCGCGGGGAATGTTTTTCTCGATTTTCCGTTTCAGGTTTTCAATCCCTTGATTGAAAAAATGTAAAACGCAGTTTTTCCTGAATTGCATAGGGTATGTCGCTTTCACTAAATTAGGTTATTGTGCAAAACTGTTGAATGCAGCAATGTAAAAAAATGAGTGACGTATTAATATATTTATATTGTTTTTGTATTTTTGTTTTCTCAGCTGTATGTTAGTCTTTCAGTAATAATGTGAATAATTACTGTTCATCGTCCATTCCTACTATAATGGTATATGTTATCAAATGATGTTATGTATGTTACGTATATTTGTGGAAATGTCCAAATGGTCAAAACTTTCATCTTAATGTTTATTGTGTAATATGTTAAATGTTTCTTTCCTTTTGTTTAATACTTGTCAAATGTTACTTTGTGTGTTCCTCATTTCTTCAACAGTTCTTTATATTCCGGACACGATTCACTTCCTTTACCTAACATTGCTATTATTTTGTGACTATTCAGTTGAGTTGTAATTATCTGTTCCAAAGTAAGCCTATTGCTAATAAAACCCAGTTTTTTTGGATTGGACACTCGCCAAGTAAAGCAGTGCAGAGTTAAACTAAACCCGTTCCAAGATTGTGGAAACAATTTCCATAACTTAAGTTTGAAGAGTACTGGCAAGAATGATCTTTTGGACTTGTGCCTTGGGATATTCACATGGATGGACACTCATAAGAAATGGCACTCACAAATTCACAGAAGTAACGTTTAATCGATGGTCAACAATATGGTGAACCTGTTCCGAATTACAGAAAAGTGTTATATTTTCATACTTTTTAATGCAACTAAACTGTAGCTGATTACTTGAAAGATGGACCTGTAATTGATAAAGGAGGCTTTCTGTATTTAATTTATCTTAAATTTATTTCTATTATACCTTTGTCGAAAATTACTATTAAAATACCTTATTCTGCTTGGAATATCTTGCCCAACAAGGGAGAAGAACCGATAAATATTTTAAAATTACATTAAGATAATTAATTTACTTCTATGTGAATCGTTGTAAAATGTTGTTTTATTCCAGAAGCTTATACCTGTAGTTATTATGGAATGGAAATATGAAAATAGAAATGAGAAATACGTTTGAAACCTCCCTTCATTTCATGAGTAATGATAATTATTGTTTTTAGGGCTATGAAAAAAATATCCGCTGGTGCGGATATCTTTTTCATCTATTAAGTAAATAATAATGAACAATTATTGGATTCGGTGTTCGCAAGATACGAAGAATTATCAAGCCGTCGGCATCGGTTGATAACACAAACATTTGGCTTGATAATTCTTATTATTTATTTAAAAAATTCCTGGTTTCTGATTGGCTAACAGCGAACTGTGAAATTGTCCTATCAACTCAATGGCTAATCAAATATGGATTTTTCACATTCATATTAGCAAAATGACGTCAAATAGTCAATATGAAAAAAATTTGGACGCGTTTGCGCCATATTACTATGACGACGAGAATCATATTGACTCGCGGACGCCATTGATATGACGACGACGGCTGCCGAAGGACTAAGAATTGTTTTTTCAGTCTTAATACAAATACTAGAAAATACATGCATGCGGAAACCCTCGCCTTGCTTTCCGAACATGAAGTATCTAAAGTAGTTGTAATGGTAACACGATAATTTTTAAGACTAGAAGTTACTATCGCAAGGAAAGTGCTGCCTCACCCCCAAGGGATCAAAGGCAGCATGCGCAATTTGATAAGGGACCGTTTTTTCTGATCTAGCCTCCTCCGCAGGTAACTCTTTGAGTTTGGCAAAAATATTATGAATAACAGCGAATTTAAAGTTAGGGATTGTTCAACCTCGTACCCAGGGCCAGTCGTGAGTTGAAGGCAGCGACATGGCCCTGGTAAACGCTGGCACGTGTCAGGCAAATACTCCAAGATTCTTGGAGTATTAGCCTGCGAGCGGGCTTTATGGAAATAAAGACAGGGGGGCGACGAAAAGTTCACGAATAGAACTTGAATTGCCGTGGATTATTTATATTTTTTTATTTTTTGTTGTAATCTTTCTTTTTAATGTGTTACGTTTATATATTACGTCGAATGTACGTCAATCTTCTTTTATATCGCATCATATAAATCGCCGAGGAGGCGATGACGCGATGTTTCGGCTTTCGAAGGACAATTATGGAGACAATTGCAACCTCGTACGTACTATTTGTGATGATTTCCATCAAGTAAAAAGGTACAGTATGAATTTGAAAATGTCTAAAAGTATTTTATTGTTACAAATTATTTAGCAGATTCCCATGAGTTAACACGTGCACGTGCACTCTGGCGAATATCGCAATGTTGGCAATGCGGTTGCCTTTAATTATTTGTTATTGACCAGCTCTATGAAATATATATTTCGAAGGCTGTTATATTTTATACAGTATGTTATAGCTGAATTTGTATTTTAAATATCGAGAAACACATGGCCAGACAGTGGCCTATAATATTATACTCGGACTCTCAGTAAAGTCTACTTCTCACATGATTATTATTTACAATTGATTGATTTATCACAGCAGTATTAACTTCAAATATTTACTTTGTTTTTTTACATTTACATTTAATGACCTGAAATTATTTAAATAATTAAACCATTATTAATAACAGAGTGGCCAGGTTGACAAAGCTAAAATCTGATGAACCTCAAGGTCTTGAACTGCTAGGATATTTTAATAGTCAAACATCAGTTTCAGCATTTATGAGTTAATGAGTATTTTTAATATCCATGACAACTGCAGCTGGTCAGGGATTTTTTAGGGAAAAGGTTTAGCACCCCATCGTAAAAACCTGCCCCCGAATCTCAAACTTTCATTATTTTGTTCCCTTGCCCCTACATATATTTTGTTCCCTTGCCCCCTATACAAAGGTACAAACCTTTTGTACCCTTGAGATCTTTTAAAAAATTGCCTAACTCAGCAGTGTGGCTTGTAACCTTGTTGCCATAATTATTTTCTGAAGGCTTCAATAAATTTCTACTCTAACACCTGACAGAGATGGGGGCCATATGCATGAACAAGAAGAAATGATTTCTTCATCTATCGACCCCTTACCTTTCACCAAATTTTTTAATAAATTAATTTATTAAATGATTTTGAAGTTTTCTAGATTATTGAAAAGAAATTTATGGGTACAAGATATGGGGCAGAAACAGTTAAATTAAGCAAGATATATGCAAGTAACAATGAACAAGACCAGATCACTGGATGGTATTTCAGCACACTGGTGGACATGCAACTTAATACCTGCACCTGTGTCACATTTATATAGTTTTACACTGTACTGTCTGGAAAAATAATGTTAAGGAATTTGTAGAGATTCAGAATGTACACTAGATTCAGAATGTACAGGTTTATTCAATCACCTGCATGAATCATTTTCATGTTATGAATATTTAAATTATCTCACTTTATAGATAATTATATCAATTTTTAATATCATAAATGAATATAGTAGCTTTTGATTATACAAGTTATAATAATGTATCGGCAAATAATGACTGGTCTCTCTGAAATCCATACAGAAAGATTCAAATTTGACTTCCACTACCACTACTTGATCTGGCAGTTGCATCCAGTGTTTGATTGGGTAGATGAAACTTGTCTGGTTAGTTAATGATAGCAATAGCAGTAGTGGAAGTCAAATCTGATCTCTCTATTATTCTTTGAAGATTTGCTCTAGTCACTTCAATTCAGGGTTGCCCATGCATGCACAGTTATTGTTGACTTTGTAAGCACAGCTAGCTCTTCAAGTTGGAGGTCCAGTTCTTAGGATTCTGCAAATTAATTATAGAAAACTGGCTTTGGTTTGGGCTAAGCAAAAATCATCACACTGTTTACAATGCTGATTTGGTTGTTTAACAGTTAAAGTCCAGGCTGCATGTTTTTTTGTCCTGCATATGGCAGATGGGACAGTCCGGTTTCCAAGTGTTTATGTGGGGAATTAATATTAATCCTGGCTTCTGAGTGAAGGTCTTGCCAGCTTTATGCAAGACCTTCGTGATGTGAGATTACAATTGCTACACAGCATGATCTCAGGGCTCTTCCTCTGAAACAATGCTTGGTTGCGATTTTATAGACGGATTTTGTGGGGGTGCAGGGGGGTGCTACCCCCAATATTAGCTATAACCCCCCCAAACAAAATGTCCACCCCTCCAAAAAAATTTTCACCCCCCCCCCTAATATTCGGCATAATAAAAATAATTAAATAGTCCAGTCCAACGTGCAGAGTGTTGATGATACAAAATAAATGTAGGAGTACACTCAAATAGAAAAAGACAGTGCAATACTCTGAAACTAATCGCTCCTCGCTTGCACTCACTGGGTTATTGGAGCAATTGTAAAGTTTTGAAACTCTATTATCTCCCCTGAATAGAGTTTGCAGTGCCTTGTCATGCAAATAGCTTGCTCGCAAGGAACGTTTGGAATTTTTACGAACATTATTTTTAGTTTTTAATTCTTTTAGGAAATAGACTTGCCTAGATTTAATCTTTACGCCCCAAATATTATTTACATTGGAGTTGCATTATAAATTGTACTCTGATTCAAACGACACAATGTCAATGACTTTTTAAAAGTAACAGCATATTGTGTATTAGCCTATTGGGTTTACACTTTTACAGGTTCATTTAACTTTAACTCTCTCAAGTCTCAATAGACAATCGGACATGCCAAATCCACTGATATGACAACTTCAAAAAACTTTTTTTCGAAGCTAGAAATCATGATTTTTTCAAATTTTTCCAGGGATACTTTGTTTTCTGCTCTCTAGACTCCCCCTCACGGCTCTAGTGCTCCACCCACAGAAAATAGACCTTACTGGGGTTTGGTGACACTTTGTGTTGCTTCAGTCACCTGCTCACGGCTCACCCCCCTAAAAGTTCTGGCACCACCCCAGTAAAAAATATGAAAATCTGTCAATGTGCGATATCATCTAGCAAGTGCAAAAATGCACTACCACAGTCAAGGACCATTTGGCATGTTCATCGACTATGTTAACCCATTGAGTGGCAGCATGCACTTTCCCCCTGACGAGTAAAATTGTCTGGCATTAGACAGAGTAAACTAACAAAGTAGGGCGCATCTGGGTGCATTGACTTAAAGGGTTAAAACGTAAATACCACAGCACAACACTTGTACATATACAACAGCAATCCTTTTATATATTTAATAGTCATATTTACATATTGGTGAAATATCAATGTCCATATATTAGGGATGTCCATGAACTTCAGAACTTGTTTCTAGTTTGAAGCTGAAGTATTCATATCTTTTGTATCAGTTGTCCCTCTACTAACCAACTTTTAGTCATTATACAAGAGTTGAATTTGCATTCATTTGCTTCGCAAGTCGCAACAAACTGAACAAAGTACTAAACCATAAACCTGTGCAATGATCGAGCGTCTTGAGCGACATATCCAAGTCTTTTAAACGTCGCATACGAACAAATCTCACTGAGTTTTTTCCACAGAAAGTATTGATCCATTTGATCGATCGCCGTACTTTGAGAAAAGCTTGAAATGCAAAATTCACAGGGAAGATTGAAGAATTTCGTACTAAAAACCTAAAAACTGTTGGTCGTCGAGTTTCACCTCTATAATTCACCCCCCGGATCAGAAAAGTAACAATTACGTAATGTTCGAGTCACGTGACCAGCGTTTACCAGGGCTACGCCGCCGCCTTCAATTCGCGGCTAGCCCTGGGTACGAGGTTGGGGATTGTTAGGGATCACAGAGTGTAACCCTATAATATTCACATTTTTGCCAATTTTTTATTCATAATAATACTTTTGCCAATTCTTGCTAAAGAGTTGCCTGCGGAGGAGGGTATACATGATCCTGCTTTGCCAGGACGAGATGCCAGGCAGGATTATTTTGATGTATTACTTCTAAAATAAATTACTGTGCACGATTCAGCAAGGTTGTTCAAGCAGCAATAATAATCTTCTTGAACTACAACATTTGAATTCTGTTGACTTATTTCAATACATTAAAATCACCCGGCTTCCAATATTTACAGTAAACAGCCCCTAAGACACATGTTCATGAGGTAGGAAAAGTACAATTTGAATATCAAACACCTTGCACAAAGTCAAAGGTCAGCTAAATATTTCTACTAGCTTTCTTGGCATTGGGTAGCCCGCGTGCAGGCCCAAGGGAACTGATAGTGGGCCTGCAAGCAAGGCCCGGTATTTTGTACTTTCCGTGTTCGCTCACGAACGCGGCATTCTGATTGGCTGTTTGCTGTTGGATTCTATAATTAGGTCAGTGATTCATCACAAAGGCTCTCGATAAGCTTAAAATTCGAAAATTGATCACTTTTTTCGATTATAAATGGAATAAGAACAGACTGTTTATTGTTTACTTGAAGGAAGAGATGTTTTTGCCGTTATGCCAATGGGGATTGCTTGTCGTGAGGTGTTGGAATAGCAACATTAACGGCTGGGGTAAACTATAGTAACCTTTACTTGAGTCTCATTACAGTGTAATTTCAAACAGACTTGATACGTTATATGTTCCTCAAGAAAATTATCTTTTGGTTGATGTTGAGATGCAGTTGCATGTAAGCCTATTCGAAACACTTTGCGACTAGTTTACAAGGCTTCGCTGAGAGAGCGAAACAGAAGACGGTATTAAATTGCCGTTTGAAACGAAACGATCTGGACTCTGAACGCTCTCTTCTTCTATAGAGTTCTTTTATACCAAATGAAATAACTGAAATAAATTTCGCACTTTCCGCCGCCAACAAGAATTGCACACACGATCTGATAAGTGAGACAATTTATTTATATTAAACAATGGCGACAGCCGCGAAGTACACCTTATAAAGACCTATAAATGCCAATGTGGTCGCACGACTTCCCTCACGATTTGAAGTTTGAGACTGGTTTTCTGTTGAAATTCGTCCTAATTAGCTTGTTCCGATTTTAGTTGAAAATGAGTACTTGCAAATTTGGCAATTACTGACTGCGTTGCTTGCTTTTTTGGAGTTAAAACGCAGCCATTTACACATTGTTTATGTTCTGAATAAGCAGAGAAAACCCCGCAACATTTTAATGCGAGTTTGTTTGTTAATATTTGGGTGCTGTCATTGGTTCTTTTTTGACAATTGACGTGCGAATGGGGCGTGTTATGAAAAGGGGCGTTTTACAAAATACCGGGCCTTGCTTGCAGGCCCACTATCAGTTCCCTTGGGCCTGCACGCGGGCTAGGCATTGGGCAGTTTTATATGAACACCTTCAATGCTTATAATTTCTTGCTTTTGTATGTTTATTACAATATATGCTGGTTTATTAGGATAGCATGACCAGTTGCCACGGCTAGCTAGCCACTGAATACTGTATAATTATATCATATATACAGTGTGTCTAAAAAAAGTGAATCCTTTCAAATTTGACAGCTCTAGTTGCTTTGAATTAATGATTGGGTAAGAACACAAGGTCTTGTACTCATGGGACAAAACTCAAAGAAATAAAAATTAGAAAATTTAAAAGAAATACAGTATTCCTTGTGTTCTTACGTAACTATTAATTCAATGCAATTAGACTGCTGTCTAATTGCATTGAATTTGAATTTGAAAGGTTCACTTTTTTTTTTAGACACACTGTAGAAATATTAAGTCAGTTTTTGTCCCAATTATTATTTACATGGCACCTTCAAGGCCACCCCTATTGCATGCAAATCAACCGAACAATCGATCTGATGGGGAGACAAAATGTATTTGTTAACATTTTTGTTTAATTAATATGTCAGCTTCAGATGACACCATTCATTGTACTCAGTCAGAGATTGTACTCAGTCAGAACTACAAAACTAAATAAGAAAGAAATTGTGAGCATTATCGAAGAATATTCTTGGGTTTCATATGACGTCACAGAAGTGACGGGGGTCAACTCTAAAACAAAACACCGTTACCAGAGTGAGTCGATTGTTTTATGTACTAGCCTTGTGTTTGGTGGCAATACATGGAATTCCGTATAATTTATTACTCCAGTACAGCATAAGCATCAATACATGTGAGGTTGACCCCCCATCAGATCCACTGCGTAATGCCTAGTTAGTGAAACCCAAGAATAGCATACCCGGAAACATATTGCATGACACAGCCAGGTGATTATGTTAAAGATGCTGTACGGTCTGATCTGCACATGTGCACAAAGGAGGAGCCCTCTTTTATACAAACAGTTTATTTAGATTTTATTTCGTTTTATGTTCTTGCAAAGCTTGATTGTTGTGTCTTTATAATTTATTATACTCTAGAATCATGAAAATATAAATAGTTGTCGAATAAAATTCTATATTTTGGATACCGAAATGTAAACAAAGCCTTTGTGTGCATACGGACTGTACACATCTTTAACAATCGATGTCTCAGAGATATTATAAACAGGCCATCAGGCATGCATGATACCCGGCCTTGTACAAAAGTCAGTTGACATGCTTTTTGCATGTAACTGCTGGGAGCCTGCTATTAAAGATGCGGTACAGTCCGATCTGCACAATGCACATGTGCAGAAAGGAGCCCTCTTTTTATTTACAAACAGTTTATTTAGGTTTTTATTTCATTTCATGTTCTTGCAAAGCTTGATTGTTGTCTCTTGATAATTTATTATACACTAACTCTAGAATCATGAAAATATAAATAGTTGTCGAATAAAATGCAATATTTTGGATACCGAAAAGTAAACAAAGACTTTGTTTACATACGTACTGTACCGCATCTTTATTAAAAGTTAATATATACAGACAACAATCCCCACTCTGGGTTGCTATAGGAAGCAAGGAAGCCTGATTACGTGCACAAGTAATTAACAGTCCGTCTGCCCGTGTTTGTTTTTAAAACGCGGTGCTGAAAGCACCATTGCTATAAACACCACTGCTATAAACATCTAAAATGAACACTATATAAAACTCATCGCCACACAAACAAATAAACTCAAAGTACATTTTCAAGCTCCTTGTAGGCTTGTATACAAAATAAGATAGATGTCATTATTGACATCATGAAATCATATGTTTCAATACCTCTGTATCGAATGCTATAAAGCAGCAGATCTAAATGCCTTCATGTATATCACCAGAAAGAAATAAAACCATTCTTACCTGATTTATTCTTTGATATTCGTTTGCAATCCAACATATAAACACGTATGATCTCGTATTAAAAGTTTAATTAAACTGCATGCACAATTTCTGCCGTTCAGAGGGGGAGGGGGAAAAAATTGTTTCTGATAATAGTAAATGTATTAGGACATCCAAAGGGGTAGGAGGGATTAACTTACAATTTCCTCTGTGGGAGTGGTATGGGTGTTTTCTGGAATGACCCAATATAACTGTGTTTTTTTTTCCAAATCTAATCAAACTGTCAAATTGTCAATCCTTGTACATGGGGAGGGGAAATTTTGGAGAAAGAAAAATTGTGACATATCATGTTGGGGGTCCACCTGTAGGCCTGGTCGTAGGCGTACAGGGCTGGGCTCAATTGTTGGGCAGACTATAGGCCAGTCGGGCAATATTTATACTTCACAGTTGGGCAATATTGGCTTATTATAAAAATAAATGGGAGAAATTATTCCCTCAATATTGGGGGAAATATGCTAATAGTCGAAAATTTAGTTCATTTTGATTAATAGTCATTTAATATATGTGATATCAACAGTTTCTGTATGGTATTAAGTAACAGATTACAATGTTTGTGCATTAGAGATTTAGAGGCACTAATAACTCAATAACAAATAGGGACTAA